AAAAAAAAAAAAAAAAATATATATATATATATATATATATATATATATATATATATATTCTCAAGACACACAAAAAAGAAAAAAAAAATAGAGATGGGGTCTTCCTATGTTAGCCAGGCAGTCTTGAACTCCTGGCCTCAACGAATATTCCCACCTTGGCCTCCCAAAGTGTTGGCATTACAGGTATGAGCCACAACACCCAGCCAATATACAGCTTATTTTTTCACTCAATGCTCTAAACATTAACCTATATTACATTTGTCAACATTTTTATGGTTAAGGAAAACCTCCAAATCCACCTAATTATCCCTTTATAGTTATAAGAAATTGAAACAATACATATGTTCAATTAAAAATAATCTTGGGGCCCGGGTATAGTGGCTCATGCCTGTAATCCCAGCACTCTGGGAAGCTGAGGAGGGTGGATCGCTTGAACCCAGGAGTTCAAGACCAGCCTGGCCAACATGAAGAAACCCTGTCTCTACTAAAAACACAAAAATTAGCCAGGCATGGTGGCATGTGTCTGTAATCCTAGCTATTCAGGAGGCTGAGGCAGGAGAATCACTTGAATCACCCAGGAGGCAGGGATTGCAGTGAGCTGGGATCGTGCCACTGCACTCCAGCCTGGGTGACAGAGCGAAACTCAGTCTCAAATAAACAAATAAAAATTATCCTGGGAAGGACCTCTGTTTGCACAACTTTCTTGTGTAATTCTAATTATTTCCTTAGGACAGGTTTCTGTTTGTCTGTTCAATGACCTTAAAAGGGTTCTATTGACCTGCACTTCTATCCAGAGTGCTTCCATCACTTTTACATAAAAAAAGCTAGTTTTGCAGCCATAAAAAAGAATGACTGCATGTCCTCTGTAGCGACATGGATGAAGCTGGAAACCATCTTTCTCAGCAAACTAACACAGGAATAGAAAACCAAACACCACATGTTCTCACTTGTAAGTGGGAATTGAACATTGAGAACACATGGACACATAGAGGGGAACATCACACACTGGGGCCTGTCAGGGGGATGGGGGACAAGGGGAGGGAGAGCATTAGGACAAACACCTAATGCATGCAGGGCTTAAAACTTAGATGAAGGTTCATAGTTTGCAGCAAACCACCATGGCACATGTATTCCTATGTAACAAATCTGTACATTCTGCACATGTATCCCAGAACTTAAAGTAAAATTTAAAAAAAGGAAAAAAAATTAAAATCAATCAATCATATAGTGTTTTAGAAGGTAATTTTTTTAAAAAAAAAAAAGCTGGTTTGAGATCTGTAGTTAAAAAATAATGAACTCAGGCCAGGCGCTGTGGCTCATACCTGTCACCCAGTACTTTGGGAGGCTGAGGGTGGAAGATCTCTTGAGGCCGGGAGTTTGAGACCAGCCTGGGCAATATAGCAAGACCTTGTCTCTACAAAAAAATGTAAAAATCAGCTGGATTTAGTGGTACACACCTGTAGTTCTGGCTACTCAGGAGGCTGAGGTGGGAGGATCACTTGAGCCCAGGAGTCTGAGGTTACAGTAAGGTATGATCGTGCCGCTACACTCTTGCCTGCATGACATTAAAAAAACAGAAAACTCAAAGGTGCTCTTACCGAAATGATTTCAGATTCTTCTGTAACATCAGATATTGCCATGTCACGACGATAGCCCCAGGAAAACTTGTCAATGCTGGTGCACATCTCCCACTTGTGATCTGGCAAGCTCTGTGGCTTGAATTTATCTTCACAGTTATAGTATCCTCCATGGTGACAGGAACAGTTCTGACCCCATCGGTCATTTACTACCACCTCATCCTAAGAAGGGAAAGAATACTTGGCCATGAGGAGTAAAACCACTTGACTTCTTTATGTAATGCATTTTGGTAAGGCTCTATTTGGAAGCAAGAAAGTTAGTCTAGAGCAGCAGTTCTCAACTGGAGGCAATTTTGCTCTGGAGGGGACATTTGGCAAAGCCTAGAGACATTTTTGATTGTCACAACTAGGGTGGTACACCATCTAGTGGGTAGAGACCAGGGATGTTACTAAACATCCTACAATACACAGGACAGCCTCTACAACAAAGAAATATTCAGCCCTAAATGTCAACAGTACTGAGTCAGAGAAACCCTGCTGCAGAGATAAATGTTAGGGCTGGAAGAGTCTGCTTTAAAGATGATCTGGTAAACTACTTATTCCATAAGAGGAGAAATGGACAGGAGAGGATCTGCCTGAGGCTGCGCCCCCCTTGGCAGTTTCAAAAGCTGGAACTACAAATCAGGTATCTGAACCCATGGCAGGCTGTTTTCCAACTACATAATCTCAACCTTACCTAGGTAAAGAAGCCTTAAATTAATCTCACTTTAAAAAAAAAAAAAAAAGAAAGAAAGCCTAGGCTTGGTGGATCACGCCTGTAATCCCAGCACTTTGGTAAGCCGAAGTGGGTGGATCACAAGGTCAGGAGTTCAAGACTAGCCTGGCCAAGATGGTGAAACCCCATCTCTACTAAAAATACAAAAATAAGCTGAGTATTGTGGCTGTAATCTACTCTGGAGGCTGAGGCAGGAGAACTGCTTAAACCCCGGAGGTGGAGATTGCAGTGAGCCAAGATCATGCCATTGCACTCCAGCGTGGGTGACAGAGTGACACATTGTCTCAAAAAAACAAAACAAAACAAAACAAAACAAAAAACAGAGGTTTTGCCCTCAACAAACCAGCAAAGAGTAGCAGAGGAGGAGACAGATAAGTGGACAATTACAATATGACATCATATCAGAGTTTATTACCTGATTACAAGATTATCAAGGGCTTTCAGGTTCATAGCAGGCTCCAGCACCTAGTAGTCAAGGGTCTTAGGCAGTTAACTTTACCTTTTAAGTCTAGTTGCCCTGTCTATAAAAATAAACAGCTGGGTGCAGTGGCTCACACCTGTAATCTCAGCACTTTGGGAGGCTGAGGCGGGCGGATCACCTGAGGTCAGGAGTTCAAGACCAGCCTGGCCAACATGGAGGAGGTCCTGTCTACTAAAAACACAAAAAACTTAGCCGGGTATGGTGATTCATGCCTTTAATCCCAGCTACTCGGGAGGCTGAGGCAGGAGAATTGCTGGAACCCCCGGGGAGGTGGAGGTTGCAGTGAGCTGAGATCTCACCACTGCACTCCGGCCTGGTGCCTGGCAACAGAG